AAATCCTGTAGCAGTTCTTAGGATTTAGCAGCCCGGTATATATTACAGTTATTAAAGATGACATATCTTATAAAGTATATATTGCACATAAAGCACATAGTTTGACGGTATTTGGGGTCCAGCTTCTTATAAAATGGTGCGCTGACAACAACCTTGGCCTCAACATCATTAACACCAAAGGGCTCATTGTGGACTACTGGAAGCCTAAAGGCTGCAGACGCACCCTGTATTCACATCTGAGGTATAACGTGGCTCAATCTTCAAATTCCTGCGTGTCCATCTCTGTGATGATCTCATTTGGTCTTTCAAAACATCCAGCCTTGTTTAAAAAGGCACAACAACACCTGTACTTTTTAAGGGGGCTAAAAAAGCCCACCTGTCTCTTCAAATACAGAATAACTTTTACCGCTGCACTATCGAGAGCGTTCTTACCAGCTGCATCTCGGTGCGGTATGGCAGCTGCTCTTTAGCTGACAAGAAGGCCCTGCAACAGTTCAACACATCATCGGTGTCACTACCTGCCATCGCTGACCTCCATCGTACACGGTGTCTGCGATGTGCTCACAGCGTCATCAAAGCTCCCTCACATCCAAACCACAGACTGTTTGCCAATCGGGACAGGACCCTAATGGCGCTTTTCCACTGCAGCACGGTTTAAGCGAGCTTTTTTTTGCTTTTCCACTAGGGGTAGTTCCGGATCAGGGCTACTTTTTCACCTTTTTTCTGGCCCTCCAAAATCGAGGTTCTTACCGGGCCAACAACCGGGCTGAATATGCTAAACTAGTGACGTAAACACTCGACTGCTGAATGGTCAGAGAAAATCGCTGGCAAGGGGGCTACAACTACAACCAAATGAACATATTTTACCGTGATTTAATTGTAATAAACGTTTCGAAATTATGCATACTGTTAGTAAAAACCATGAATTAATGCTTTGACAAGTCTGCAGACAAGACGGCAGGCGAAACACCTTTTAAAATGTGTGTTTTCTGAATGGAGATCGGATCGACCAGGCTAAACTAACGTTGTATATGCTCCGACTACGTCCACACTCACAACAACGGCCTACAGACAGAAATAAACCAGCGACTGTATTCGCCATGACACAGACAGTCTGTGGTTTGTACTTGTTTAACTTTTGTCCAGTTTCTGAACAGATATGAGGAGCTGTGAGCTCTGAGTGCTAACAGCTAACGGCTGATGTTGGTTTTGTGGTTCGCATTGAAGATGACATCACGGCAGTTTTACGCAACAGTTTTTTCCACAACTCCATAACCCTTCTGAACTTTCAAACTCAGAACTAGCCAGGGTCCTCAAATCCATGAGTCAATTAGTACCAGCCCACCACCACACTCCCCTTTGAATGTCATGGGGCTCCAACCCATTTAATATTCATTACAACTGTATTTAATTGTATGCCTACTGGATGCGTATCATTAAGGTTTTAACGGTACTACTACTTTTATCGATACAGCTTATCGATCCGGTCTATTAATAGTACTTTTATCGGTTCTTTTGGAGAAAAAAACAAGGTAAACTAACTAAACAAATTGGGAACAAAACTAACATTGCTTTTTATTTAAATGAAATACATAATATGTCACATCAGAAGAAACATCGTTTTAACAAATCGTATTAAATAATCTGATGACAGAATTGTAAACAGAATAGCTGAAACTTTAACAAAATAAATAACTCAGTTACCTCTAATTATTAACCCATGTTTCTATAATTGAGTTAATACCTGACGTGGAAAAGTTACTCGTGGATGGGGCTACAGAGCTACTAGAAAGACAGTCGAAAACGGTGCATTTCTCAGTCTGAATGTTGTGCACTTTTGCTAAATGTTTCGACAAATTGCTCGTGTTACCGCCCTTACATGCTAAACTCTTATTGCACTTTTGGTAACGAGCATTGTCCACATCGAGTTGGGTAAAGTTTAACCACACCGCGTTCTGTCCGCCATCTCCTCCGTGTGTGTATGTTGCTGCATGTAGCAGCTGCGTGTGTGTGTGTAAACTGCCACGCCCCCTCGCAAGCAGGCGGGGGAGAGAGAGATCTCTCGCCTGGATTGGAAAGATCGAAAATACTAAAAATAATCATAGACGCATTTTGCAGACTTTTGCATATTAGAAACGGAGTTGGCGAAACTGCAATATAATGTTTGGGTAGCAATAATACATATGACATATTTTTTACATGTCTCCAGTACCGATAAAAAGACCGATAACTTTGGAGCTTAACGGTACCACGGTCTTTAATAATTCAGGCCCGGAGCCCGTTTATTACCGGGGCTAGGTACCCATCCCTATATATGCCTAAACCCTGCACCTTATATGTATACACTTATAAATCTTAACATTATCTAAAGATACTGATACATTTATGTACATTACTCCAACATTTTTTGTTATGTAAATCTTTTGTAACCCTTAATGCACATTATTACTTGTTACACTTTCTGGCTGAATACAAACTGCATTTCATTGTTGTTCATGTAATCAAATACATCCACTGTCCATGCTACCTACCAATGGGATCCAGAAGGCCATGCCCCATCCTTTGGGAAGCAGTAGGTCCCATCCAGCCCCCCAGGACCTCATCTCATTTCCCACCTGCTTGCCAGGCTGTTGAACCAGCAGGATGGGGACTCTGCCCTGCGGAGGGGTGGGGCTCAGTCTGGAGCCTGGAACCAGCACCTCGTTCCTCATACGGTTCAACTCCTGAAGGAAATGCGAAGAAAATGCTTGAGAAATGACCAACCTATGCGATTATCTGTGCGTCCAGAGTTACAGATGTAAGGTAAATAACTGAGTGACTGGAAATTACTGCATTACATTTCTGCTATTAACAAAATGATGGACAACCTGTTCGGATGTTTTGTTATCAGCGACGTTGCTGCGGACCGACTGCTCCCACAGGTCACTCTGACAGCAGAGTTCAGGAACTCCTTGCAACATCAGCTCCCTCCTCTTCTCGTCCATCTCTGAAACAAACACACACACAGACATGGCACAATCCTGTATGACCAGCATTATCATAAGTGTGAGAAGGACATATGAAGCTCTTTTTGACTGATTTATAGATGATGAAAAAAACAGCATCCGAGTACTTTCCGTCTACGTCATGGTCAACCCTTTTTGGGTGAAAACATTCGCCGCCATGTGACTGCTGGTAAATACAGATGAGGTTTTCGTTAATCAAATCAAAAAAGTAAAAATACCGTACCATTTTTGATCTACAAGGAACTCAAATACAAGATATATACTTAAATTAAAAACTATAGAGGATGGATGTCCTGTCAGTCTTCTGGTGGACGAGTGGCAGGCAGCAGCTAACACTGAAACTGGGATTTTTCTTTGCTTGTCAGTGTTTTATATTCTAATGCAGTTAATATATATTCACCAGTTTTACTTTGAACACTACAAATGTTTACTCTGCATTTGATTTTAACCTTATTAGCATTATAGCTGCATTTCCCATACATATACAAGTATTGACTGACCGGGTCCCATTGATAACAATCTGCCACAGATCTCTTCTTCTTTTATCATCTGTTTTTTCAAGTATATATAAATCGGAACTTTGGATATTTTCCTTGTTTGACGTGCAATACAAAACACAGCATCTTTAAGGTATAATAAAAAAAGATTTTCCCGCTTGGGGCCAATTCTTTGTTTTCACCAGAAATGGGCCAGCCATTTTTTTGCCAGGCAGTAAGTTAACAGTCCTAAATATAAGTTCATTTAAGTTGCATCCTCATTTATGCAGGTCTTGCTAAGCTTAAATCTAATGACAATATCTTATTATAGTACAGTCTGGTAGAGATGGGATTTGAGAGAAAATGCTTTTGCAGTGCTTTCAGATATTCCTTTTCAAAAATTTTATAGGATTTAAAACCTTTGGAAAAAAAAAAACTTATCCTACCAATTATCCCAGTGGCTTTTACAGGTTTTGCATATAAGGATTTTAATCAAACTGTCATAACAAGTTACAGATAACCCTGGTTAGTTCAAGCCGTGCCATAATATCAGGGCTGCACATAACTGGTGCGCAACATTGAGAGAGAGAGATGAGAGAAGAGAGAGATAGAAAAGACAGAAGAGAGAGAGAGAAAAGAGAGAAGAGAGAGAGATATTTGCGAGTTGCATAAGAACTGGTAAGATAGCAGGGTTTCCCACACATACTGTAGACTTTACTTGGGCGGGCCGCACAGGTATAATAACGTCCGCCAAAGTATAATTTGCGAGCTATTTTAGGTTTAATTTTTTTTGCTATTTAGGTTTAATTTTTTTTAATCCGACCGCGAGCACGACGGCATCTGCGATCCCTCGCTCTACCCCTCGCTATCGCGTGAAGGGTCTGCAATGCCCTCCGCACAGTAACCCTGCTGCGTGCTCACTAGTGCGCACCCCCCCCCCGTTCATAGAGTCAAGTAGGTCTGGTCCGGTTTATATTATTTTAAGGATGCTCACCAAGCAACATCTCCAGGTGCTCCTTTGCAAAACAGTTATGTGCACCCCTGCATATTATCCTTGCAGTCCTGCTTATGCTAATCCCGCTCTTGGTTAGTGCTAATTGGAGAGAGAAATTATGTTCCTGTATCAAAAAAGTTCAAGCTTTTGTAACTGAAAAACAAAAACATAATTTTTCAAAATGATTACCTTATCCGATAATAATCCAAAGCAACATGTAATATCATACATTATTCTCTATATATATATATATTATATATTTTTATAGTCTTGAAGTTAAAACTGGCCCTTTGAGTGCAACAATAATGCTAATGTGGCCCGCGAATAAATTGAGTTTGACACCCCTGGTTTAGAGCCTTAATTGGCCCATGTTTCTTTATTATTTGTGCATTTTCTTTTGTAGTTTTTTTTATGTGAAGTTATCTAAAAACAAGATTTGTATAAAAACAAAACCTTTTTATTCGATCTAGCCATTTGGCATTAGAAGAGGTGTAAGTAAAGAAAAAAAAGGTACTCTACTGAACACTCTTAATACAATGTGGGCGAAAGTAAACAAGGAAGTGTGCAAGCATGGACATAAAGCATCAATGTAATGTAATTTGCTTCTTTTTTTTTGCTTGACTGGATTTCCTTTGGTCTAATATTGTTGTACATTTTAAACAAGCAAACTATAAAACACATAAACGGCGCGGTTGAAAGAAACCCTTTTTTTGTCAGCGAATCAGCTGTTGTGTGTCACTGAGGGTGTATTTGGAGTACAGGGTCCTGCCAGGATTCGAACCTGGAACATCTGCATGGCCAGGCAGAGGCCCCCCGGAGCACAGAACCAGATGTGTACTCACTGAAGCAACCTCATGACCACAACAACAGACTGATTCTACCTGAACTATAGAGACGTCTTATTTAAGGCTTAGGTTTCTGCTTGCATATAAATGAACATTTCATGCATCTGCACGCTGTATGACTAAGTCCACATAAGAAAAATAGAGGTTATGATTCCAGTCTGGGGAGATGACTTGTGATTGCATGCCCTATAACCATGTGTATGTGTAAATTAAGTGCCCACCCTCCTCCAGTGTCTGATAGGTCAGATTTTACCTTGTGCAGGCTTTACACAGGGCAAAGCTTTAACCTTCTTTGTAGGTAAAGTCAGCCTGGGGTCATCTACAGTCAGACCCAGCACTGTGCCTGAGGGCAGCTCTCCAGTCAAAAAGATGCCTGGATGAATTATACAGTCATGGTGAGATGAACATGCACACACATACCTAACCAGATGGCAATAAATGTAGTACTATGTCGTAAAAAACAACAGTATTTTGATTGTGTGAAAATAAAAAATATCAATACACCTTTTAGTATATGAAAGACATGAGCTTGTTGTTGATGCAGGTTCATCTTGCTCTCGCTTTTGCATTGCTCAGGCCACCAGAGGTGAGAGGGCTTGGATATATTTATTTCCTTAAAGAAAGAAAAACACAGTTTTTTGGAGTTAAATGCGAGAACATTTAAGAGGCATTCTGCTTTCCATGATGCCAAGACTATAATTCTTACATTAGAGTCCGTAGCTGCTTCCATGGTTTCCGCCAGAACAGAAAAGGACTGTGGTCCAATCAGGCGATAGCGAACTATTTCCATTGTGAGATCACTGCAACACATCCACAAGTATAAACAAAAATATATCAATACTTTTGAGTGAAAATAATACATCCAAGCCAAATTGTATGTATACATCTTAATTACCTTCTATACGAACTACACTAACCTTATAACTATTCGATTTGAGCTGGACTTCCAGGTCACCGGGGTGCTGGGAGATCTGGTTCCATCTCCAAGAATCTTCTTGGCAGGAGGTCCACTGGCATCCTTACATTTTCGCTTTCTCTTGGTTTCAGTAATCTGCTTGGCATCGGAGGTCTTCTCAGGCTTTGGCTCCAATTGTAGGGTGGGAAAAACCTCAGCAGGTGACACCACTGGAGGAACCACAGGGTCACAACACTGGCACACCTTTTGTAACTCCAGAAGAAGGTCCTTAAAAGGAGCACACAGTGAATGGGAGACAAGGTTTAACTCCAGTCACCAAAAGAAACCTTTCACTACAGATTGCATTTTAACTCATTGTCAACCACCAAACCTGTTTAATAGAGGGATGAGCCCAGATCCACAGCTGCCTGTTGGTTAAATCCTGTGAACGGGGTCTCCAGAGGAAGGTGACAGGGCCCAGGGGCTGCGTGGGGTACTGTCCTGCTCTGTACACCACCACACTGCCCTGTCTGCGCCCTGATAGACACAGTGCTGCAGCAAAGGTGGGACCTGAAGTACACCAAATGCTTTTAACATTGTAATTAAATCAAAAACAATAAACTACTTTGATCAGATTGGGTGTTAATTAACAGTAGGCCTACACAGATTACCACTCCAAACTCAAAAGGGAAGAATTAATGTGGAAGATTAAAACCACATCCACAGTATTTTGGAGCATATAGTAAAAACCAAAAATGCAATTTGTGGGAGTAAGGCTAGTCTCACCGGTCTCCTTGCTGGTCAGTTGTGAGAGAGAAGCCAGCAGCTTTTTTTCCTCTCCCCGAAGCTCTATGCAGCAATAGTAAGATAGGTCCTACGTTAACAAAAACAACAAATTCCAAATATTTCAAATGTCAGTGAAATCCTGTTAAAATCCTGTTAAAATCCTCATTTCTTTAGAAAAAAATACAACACGCCCTCCATTTCAGTAAGGGTTACCTGTAGCAGGCAGTGGCCGCTCATTGCCCTGTGACAAGAGCGGTAGCATTTGTAGGTGGGCTTGTTCCCAAGGCAGTATCCCCACTTTTTAACCATGTGGAAGCGCTTGGCGTGCCAAATGTGCGTTTCCAGCCAGACGTTCTTTCTCTGGCGGCGATTGAACTCCAGCAGCAGATTTCCGTGGCGGCGACGCGCCTTTCGGCTCTTGCTCTTTGCCTGTTCCTTCTTCTTCTTGGGGCCGGCCTGTAGGCTCCTTTCCCGCTGGAGGAGGAAAGAAACAGAAATGTCACTGTACTCAGAGATGGATAGTCTATGAAAAAAAGAGACAGAAAATGTTATGTGGCAGATTAAAAAAGGGAATATTTTTGCTTTACCATTCTGTTAGCCACCTCTCTTAGTCTGCAAGGGAGGCGCTTGGTGTTGTGGCTCATGGCCCTTCTCCTCATGTGTTTAGGCAGGGCTCCAAACACATGGCAGCTGCCCGTTGTCCTGGTTACGGCTTTAAGCATGGTGCTTACCTCTGCCGCCCTGGCCCTGGCAAAAGCTCCAGCTGAGTAATGATGGAAGCAGGGGGAAGGGCGGAGACACTACATTTTAAAATGGTATTAATCCGACAGTGAATTTGCATTGTCCCTATTTCCACTTAATACCATATTTATATAAAGGCCAACAGGAAAGCAACAGAGTTGCAAAACAGCAGCGTTATGGATACAAAAGTAAAATGTGTTTATAAATTATGAGAGTAGGACATTGTCTTTACCTGTGATGTAATTGGGCATTTCCCTAGAGTAGCCCCCACCATCTTTCTGGTGTCCACGGACCCATCCACCCCGTTGGTGGGTGTTTGTCTGCCTTTTTGTAGAGGGATGGATGCTAGATGGACCCTCATCACCACCGCCACCTTAGGGAAGATAATTATTTTATCAGTTCAAGGCCACCATGTAAAGTGTTGAATATGTCCAAGGCTGGATTAACAATAATGTCAGACAACCGCCAGACACTTAGGGGTACTTGTCTGGAGGCAATTATTTTGTTATAGCTTGAGGAGTTTAAAATGTGTTTGTTTATAAAGCATGATAAAAACACAAAATCTGGTTTCAACTTAAAAAGTGACCAATTTATTTTTTATACATATAATATTCATTTTGTTATTATCATACTTATGCAACATTAGTACATTAGATTATTAAGTATCTCAAACCACCCAACTGTCACGCTGGGGTTAACTATTGTTACAACATAGAAGCCCACAGTACATCTTACCAAGAGCCACGAGTTTATTAGACCATGCATGTTGCTCAGAACAGCATTACTGCATTTAGATCAACTCTGCCCCCACAGACAGTAAAAGCAGTGCCTAGGAGCGCTGACATTAATATTTAAGTTAAAAAAACAGAGCTCGGCAGAGACATGAATAAATGACTGTTTATCTGACAGGATACTGATTTGTTGACCCTGTGAAAAGCTGATCATGCATCAGCAAGAGACCAGGTCATGGAGATAAAGAGAAATCAATACGGCAGATATAGTATGACACAAACAACAAAGAAGCAGAAGCGTAGATCCAACAGAAGGCACAGTACCGTTCTGTGTGCCGCTCTCCACATACTGAACACTGGAGGGCTGGTTCCTCATCTTCTTCCCTCGCATCTTCACTTTAGCCGCAGACATGTTCTCTATAAAAAATAAACAAGAACCACGTGACTTGCCACAGTTGCTTGCTAATGTTAGCTACCTAGCTACTATTCCAGGTCAGCATAATGCTTAGTTTGGTGATTTGGAATAGAAGGGGGGAAAACACAACATGCCTTTAAAACATTACGTTCAGATAGTAACACAGCATGTGTTCACCTCTAGATTCCCCAGAACGAATGCACGGTGTCCAAGGTGTAGTTTTCTGTTTTCCACTTTGCTATAATTACCATGTGTGTTTCTCTGACGAGAAACAGTCGAGTTAAGCCGACGCTGCTCGGTTTAACGTTTGCTTCCGGAAACTAAGGCACAATTCCGAACCGACTCCTACACAACCCGTCTGTAGTCACACTCACAGCTGAATGAGGCTTCCTTCTTTGTAGACTGACTGTTAGAGAGTTTGATAACCCACTCACATTACCCACTTGTTTGATTGGAACGGGATTTAGTGGAGAACCCTCCACGCGAACACGCAAACGGAGTAGAAGTGCGTAGGAGTACGGTGTAGGGTGCGGTTTCGAATTGGGCCCCAATGTACCTCCTCGACTCCTCTATCCTCGATCACTTGACCCGGAAATCGATTGACACACGCTGTCACGATCATAGATATATTATGGCCCCGTCTCAGGTCGGTTAAATGAAATCCTTGGTTCCCTCACTTGCGTCGTTTCCCTGTCCCTCCCTCCAGGGAAGCATGGAGGGACGCAAGGAAACCACGAGAAGCAGGGAAATGAGTTTTAAGAGCAATGGGACGTCCTTTCCTCCGGAGCGTCACGTGAAGCGACGTCCGTTTGTGATGACGCCGCACAGCAGGCCCGGCTCCAGGATGAAATGACTGAGGGGGCTGTTAAAAAATCCGAGGGGGCGATTTTTTTTTCACAACAACGAAAAATACTGGCAATGTAATGAATTGACACACCAAGCTTTTTTCCTTCTCACTGCTCTACAATCTCTTTGCTTCTTTATTTGTTATTCTGGATTTACCTCTGTCGTTCTGTTCTTTTCCTCTGATCTTTAATAATAGATAGTACATTATTAGATGGCCGAACTTTGTTTAACAGACTAACATTGATTTCCTCAATTTATAAATGGACAGGCTCTGTAATTATA